TATTGCTTGGAATTAAAATAGGCTAATCATATAGATCGGGTCATCGGGCCGAGCAATGTGACATCTGTCGGCCATTGGGATCACTTCTTAAAGAGAGAATCCCACCTCTTTTGTACTTTTCACTTATTGTTGCATAGACCCGTTCCTTCGATGAGTGGTATGAGTTTTCTCGAAATCCTTCTGAACAGCTCAGAACTTCAATTAGAGGTAGCTGACCTTGCGTGAGAAATCTCATTTGACTCCCTGCTCACCACTATGAAAATAATGCATTTCATTTGCCTTGCTTTTTGCAGCGTGGATGCTTTGTAATTTTTGCAACAGACTTGTGTCAAATGTTTGTGCAATATCTGCTACAAAAGCTTGAAACGTTCTGTTAAGACAAAAAAATCAGAAGATTAAGTCATTATCCCGCCGATCTAACGAAACTTTACACCATGGTTTTTATTTCTCCCCTACGACGCTTATCACAGTGGCTGTTTTCGAGGCGCACGTTGGCTTTGGAAATGGGAGTACCACATGATTCATTTGACGAACTGGTTCAAACTTCATCCAGACACATTCTCGATTACAGTCCCTTGCCTGCTGGGCTCACCACAAACGTTCTTTAATTAGCACAAGCAGAGTCGCGCATGGTGGCGGCCATGATGACGGTGGTCGCGACTGCAAGGAAAAAGTATAATGTTGTCAAGAAACGTTGGCAGCGCAATTTGGACTCGAAAATAACAAAAATCAACATCGTTAATTTGTATTGACGGTGCTGCGGTGAAACAACCAGTGCTTTTATTACACGTAATTAGTCCTGAGGTTTTACTGGAGTATGTTTTTGAAATATGTCCTTGAGTTGGAAGACTCCCTTTAACAAAATAGGATCTACGCACACCAATGCCACTATCTTAATCTTCCAAAGAAAAAGTTGTGTCATCGCGATTGAAGCCGGACCGTCGGGTAAATGCCAGGTCTTTTGGACATCATACGATCTATTTCTGCTCCCACAACACCCTTCCTGATCCTCTGTAGCATTTCGTCATCCGTCTCTGAAAGTCGATCCGTTTGGGCCGCGGCTCCAGACGTCTCCCAGCCACAGCCGCGCCCGTTGGCTGCCGGCCCAACTTGGCGGCCCCAACGCGCCTCGACCTCGGTCACGTGCTGCCTCGCGGCGCTCCAGACCGCGACAAACGCGTGCCTGTCTGAGACGCGCGCACCGCGCCGCACGCGTGACGCGCCGACACGTGCGTGCGCGTGCCGTCGCGCGTCGGGCTCCGCTCAGCGGCACGTGCGATGACTTGAGATTGGCTCCGTCGCAACGTGCGCTGGGTGCGAGGTCGACGACGGTGCCGGGTCGGAGGAGAGGCGGGGGCCTGATCCACCGCGCGGCGTGGAAAGACGGAGGAGCGGCGGATGCCCGTGCCCCTCGCGCGGTGCGGGAAGACGGAGGAGTAGCGGACGTCCGGGTCCCCACGCAGCATGGAAAGATAGAGGAGCGGCCAACGCCCCCGCCCCTGTGCGGCGTGGAAGGATAGAGGAGCGGCCAACGCCCCCGCCCCTGTGCGGCGTGGAAAGATAGAGGAGTGGCCGACGCCCCGGCCCCTACGCGGCACGGAGAGACGGAGGAGCCCGTGTCCCTCGCGTGCGGCGTGGAAAGTCCGGGGAGCGGCAGACATATGTGCCCCTCGCGTTACGTGTGAAGACGGAAGAGCGGCGGACGCCCGGGTCCTTGCGCGACGTGGAAAGACAGCCGATCGCCAGCTGTTCATGACGCCGGCCCAGAAATGCGCTGTAGTAGCGGGCAGCCCCGTCGACGGCGCCGGTCTGCGCGTGGGTGACTGATGAATAATTCCCGCCGGTAACGTGTCAAGCCGCGCCTAGTGGCCCCTATCCGCAGCCGGCCCTGCGATAAGACATGTCAGCCGGCTGGGAGAACCGGCAGACGCTAGCCGATGATGTGATGGCGTATGCCATCGGATGTGCAGACACCCCCGCATCCCCGCAGATCCAGCGACAGCAGGACGTGAATCATCGGACGTACCATTACGTGCCACCCGCGACCGGCGGTGTGCTGGGGCGTGCCCCGAAACCACACCCACGCGTACAATGAATCTCACAATGTGCTACAGAACGACGATCGAGACAACGGGCACCGACGGTAACCAATGCACGGGGCAGAGCGCCAGCCTGTTGTGTTTTGTAACGCAACACATAAACAGCAGGGATAGGAAGTAGACCCCGGAGCAGCGAGAGGAAGAGTCCGATGATGATGCAGACAGAAGAGCGGAGAGGAATGCACGGAGAAGGGCAAGGGACGCTAAGGGGGTCCACTTTTTGGCGGACATGGAGGTAGGCAGGGCGGTGACGCTGCAACGACGGGGGCAGAGTTCGGGCCGGGCAAAAGGTACCTGGTGACCGCACACCTGACAAGGATCAACGCCACTCGAGACGGCTTACCAGCCCGCCGCGGCCGGCACTGGTCCCATGCTTGTGTCGAAGCCCAGTTGAAAGTACGTGTCACTTTAAGTTGCTTATTTAGCGTGCCTTTGATGAAATGCAGGAGGAGGGGGGGGGGGGGGGGGGCTCAGCCGAGAGGGCAAACAGGGCTTGTCATGATGGCAAGAGCCAACATTATACTTTACATTATACCTTACATTATCTTATACTGTTCAGAACTCCCACACTAACGTCACAATGTTTCCTACCTTTTTATTATTCCACCTGAAGCTATTCAGTCTCCGCTTGCAGAGTTAAAAAATGACAGAAATAGCTGTTGAACATTTCATTAGTGCCAGTGGGACACAACGCATAAGGGAACAAAACATTATTTCCTTTGACTGTTTGGAGGCTATCAGTGGCTCACATCGATTTGAAATCACGACTTCTAAACACGGCATGACCAGACGTTTTAATTTGGATGCAGATAATGCTGTCCCGTAATTATTATGCAATACTTCAAGAAATCCAGCCATCGCACGTTAAAGGTCACAATATGGGCGTCTTGATATCCTCCCTTCACAATTCACATACTGGGCGCGAAATCAATAAAGGATTCAGAACGACCGTGAACTTGATATTGGCGGACTTTGTTTTGAGTGCGCCGGTATCATCCATGCACTGGATGACATTTGGGGCCACTAAAAGAAGAAATAAATATAGTACTGTTCCCAAATACTAACGGCATGATTTGGAAACAAAATGCATAAAAGTAAGTTGCTTATAAAATCCCGTTGGTGATACAGTTGCACTTCCCAGTGCTGGTAATACCAACGACAGGGGCAGTTCTGGGGATCGCCAAAGTATGTCTTTGCAATATGCTGCCAAGGTGGGACCCTCCCTTTTAGTTGAGTTTTCGAAACCCCTTTATTGGTTTATCGTCATTTATGATAGGGCATTGAGCGAATTGAACGCTTTGAGCGAAATAATTGTTTGGAGGCAAAAAGGTCATCCGAAAATGAATTATGGAATGATGATTACGAAACATGGTGATGCATGCCGTGAAATAGCGAATGTGTGAAATAAATACAAGCAGGGCCGAAATACTTCTTTCGGTATCCATGTTTACGAGCGGAAAGCCTTAATCCAATTTAAACTTGGACCGTTTAGGTGATCAACTGTAAGTGTGCAACGCATTAAGGGCGCGCAAAAATTATTACGCTACATATTAAGTGTAGGCCGGGCGGGCTGGGAGGATGTATCAATCTGGAAGATCTCTAATGTTAAAGCATATCGATTTTCAAGCACGAACCTACATTCGAAATTTTTCTCCTCCCCACTTTACGACATTAACTGCACCCATCAGTGACCTGAGTGGTGTTTTTTTTTTCTACGGCGACGATTTAAGGGTGTGCTGCATAATGCATGGATCGACCTTGCATGGCGCGCCACATCTTCACGATCAGTTAGCACGGATATCGATGCATACCACAGCACTAGCTAGTCACAAACTCGAATGTTTTAGGGACATATTTGGAATGTTTTACGGATGAATAGTGCAGCCGCTGTTATGGGAAATGTCACAAACGGAATCAAGCTGGAATTGACGCATTCTTCTGGGTCCGCTGGGATCGAAGAAAGCGTGTGAAAGTATTTCGTCGCAACCAGCTCAGGGATTTCCAGCCAGCGCGCGACCAAATATGGGTTCTCCCATCAACATAGGTCCCCGTGGTTATAGTCCATGGTAAACATAGATCCTCGTTGGGTATCTGCTCATGCGGGGCGAGATCACAACCCCGCGGACACTTCCCCGCGCCGGATGGACATGAGCGTGCGGAACCCGGCCGATCCCCACCACCGCCACTCACACAGAGAACCCGGCCGATCCCCACCACCGCCACTCACACAGAGAACCCGGCCGATCCCCCCACCACACAACGCCACTCACACAGAGAACCCGGCCGATCCCCACCACCGCCACTCACACAGAGAACCCGGCCGATCCCCACCACCGCCACTCACACAGAGAACCCGGCCGATCCCCACCACCACCACTTACGTAGAGAACCCGGCCGATCCCCACCACCGCCACTCACACAGAGAACCCGGCCGATCCCCACCACCACCACTTACACAGAGAACCCGGCCGATCCCCACCACCACCACTTACATAGAGAACCCGGGCCGATCCCCACCACCGCCACTTACACAGAGAACCCGGCCGATCCCCACCACCACCACTTACATAGAGAACCCGGCCGATCCCCACCACCACCACTTACATAGAGAACCCGGCCGATCCCCACCACCGCCACTCACACAGTGAAACCCGGCCGATCCCCACCACCACCACTTACATAGAGAACCCGGCCGATCCCCACCACCGCCACTCACACAGAGAACCCAGGCGATCCCCACCACCACCACTTACATAGAGAACCCGGCCGATCCCCACCACCGCCACTTACACAGAGAACCCGGCCGATCCCCACCACCACCACTTACACAGAGAACCCGGCCGATCCCCACCACCGCCACTTACACAGAGAACCCGGCCGATCCCCACCACCACCACTTACACAGAATCGTCAGCAGGCGGCAGGTCTGCATTCTCGGCACGCCCATCGTCTCCAGCGCTCGTTTGGCACGCCGGGCGGCAGTTCTCTCGCGTCCGCCGGCACCTGTCCGAGACCCGCGCCGCCACCGCCAGCCGCTGAAGGCAACTGGGCTGGCCGCCAGCCGGTCGGTCCGGCCAGGCCGCCCCGGCCCTGGGCCGCGGCGCGTGTGACGCGTCCTCTGCCCCGCCCCCGCCCCCCTCCCCACCTCCCTACCGCTCCTTAGGCTCGCGGAGACGCGCGCGGGTTCCTGTCGGGGGACGGGCGGGGACCCCAGTTTACACTGGTATGGAGACCGAGCCGTGTCCTGGGGCATTTTAGCCGGTCAAACTGCATGGCTGCCTCCGGTCGTCAATGTTCGTACGTTAACTACCAAAATAGCATGAAATTAGACGTTGTTGAGCTTGCGTTAAACCAAGAAGCCAATTCGAATATTTGTTGTTCCGTGCTTTACATTCCAAAGTTGCGATAATCGGCAAGGCTGCCACGGACTTCGTGACATAGCAAGACACCAGAACAGTAAAGAGCTCTCTCTCTTACTTCTTAGCTCAAAACCGGTGTCCACAAACTGTCCCTTATTCCAAAAATTAATACATGACGAGAAAAAGTCAGAGACGGTAGGGGTCTCGACAGGGATGCAGAACGAAACCTCTAAATTAGCAGTAATACTTTGCGCTGCGTGACCATCATTTCGCTCCTCGCGCTCAGAAACGCGTGGTTCAACAACACCCAGTGTATCATTCAGACCATGCTGTGCAACAGCCAGGAGAACAGTTTCGCCATTGGTAAGGTGATAGAGCTGAGCAGTGCGGTGGAGATGTATGGCACCCCGAGAACCCACTCGATCTCCACCCACATGACTTCCACAAAATTGCCACATTTGGAAAGTCCGTTTGGAATGTGTGTCCATGATACCATGGCATGGGCATAGCATCATAAACATGACAACAATGTTTTTTCACATCATAGGCCACTACACTGAAACAGAATACACTAAAGAATAGTAATTCCATAAAAGTGTGCTGAGCACCAAAAACTATGTCACACCAATGTTTTGATACCGCACTTTGCACTTCCCTTCCCTGCGCAAAGTACGGCATGCACAGCAAAACTGGCCTGTCTATGCCAGAGGCGTGATCAGAAAATGAGTACATAATATGATTAGGTCCTTCAAGTGCCGCACTTCCCCCCCCCCCCCCCCCCCCGTGAGCAGGCCGCCGGCCTCTAGAGTGGGCAGTGAAGGACGGAACAGCCCAGCATCCGCGCGGGGCTTACTCAGCTTTCCTCTTCCGATAAATGTAGCAAGTGGTTAGTGGCTGACATGCACCTGGTGCTCAAACTACCTGTTAGGCGTATGGAATACAAGTTAATTAAAAAGTTCAGAGGCACACTCACGACAGAAGTCCTTTTGCTTGATTCCGTTTTCGTCACTTTACCTGAATGACAATCAAATGTCTGTTCCAGACACCAATAACATCGCTTACAGCGGTTCCATGAAGACCAGCTGGGGTAAAGCAGATATGCGAAATATTGCTCGCGGTGAGGTACAACCGAAGCGCAACAAAGGAAGGTAACATCTTGCAGAGACGGTGTCGAGCCGTGACACTTAAGTATGCTGCTAAGACCTTACAGAAAGCAACATTTTCAGGTGTCTAAGTTTCAAAAAGTTTAAACAACACTAATGTCGTGTAGTGTCGCTATTCATCAAAAACCAATTGTCGCTGTGAGCGACTTCAAAACAAGCTCATCATTATTTTCGGGCGACACTGACGATACACTATGTTGTCTAGACATCATTTGTTTAGTGTAAGCGTGCCTGGCCGTCTGTGTGTCTCGTTTTGCGTGACGCCGTCCACAGGCCAAACGGCGGGTCGCTGAACGGTCAAATTTGGACATGACGCGCGGGTGCACGAGATGATTATTCACGGGAAAACCGCGCTACGGTCGGGGGTTCGAGTGTGGCACATGGCGGAAAGCCTGTTTTAGGCCAATTGGTTTCGCACGAGTAACTCGAAAATGTGACCCACGACAAAGTATAAGGGAAGCCGTTCGAAACCGTGGCCACATCTCGGCAACGGGGGGTTGGAGCGACCAGAAACTGGCATGCTTAGATAGATAATTGAACGGGGAATCGTGTGACATCAGGTTTGTCTTAGCACGTGCCACATGTCACGTGTACAGATGCGACCACAATGGCTCTACCCGTTTTTCCCGTTTTTCACGTTTTGTACCATTCTCTTTGTACCATAGCTCGGCAGCCAGAGCACGTAGAGGCGCGAATTCGATATCGAAGCGTTACAGCGCTTGCACGTGAATTGACGACAGTACGTCGACCAACGCGTTGGTCGACATACTGTCGTCAATTCACGTGCCCAACACGAGTTTGTGCGATGCACGGTTGTGCTGACAGCCGTCTGGTAAGCGAGAAAAGTCGGCATTTCGGAATACGGCGCCAGATGCAACACCCTGTTGTCGAAACCGTAGTCAGGCTCCTTGCAAAATTTTCCCCATCGGATGCATTGATTCACTGTCCGTATTTACCATCTATTTAATTGTCATCCTGAGCACTAACAAGTCCATGCATCAATTTTACCTCAAGAGCTGCAATTCCGCCTTTTCGCGCCGTCAGAACGCCACCGGTTGGTCGCTCAGCAGTCCGCCGACAGTCAGCGTCTCAAAGGGAGTGCTCAACGTTTGTGCGGGGTTTTGAATTGAAAAAGCTGTTTCAATGATCAGTCAGCGCTGTTCACAGTCCTACCCTTCTTAAGACCTAAGCCCCTTTACTTTCTGAGCTAAACAGCCGCGCAGACGTGCACACTGTTTCGGGAAAACATTTAAGGGTCACCCAGGCATCCATGATACCATGGTATTAGCCATGCGGCGATCAAGGCCAAGAAAAAGACGACTGTCAAGTCGCTCAATGTCCCGCCGACTGGCTCTCAATCATTTTGTGCAAGACACCATGACCTTTTACTCTATATTTACCAAACAGAGAAATTGTGTTGTCTTGGGAAATCCTTCCACTTGAAAGTAGACCGATAGCTATAAATGAGCTGATTTCATCATATCTGATCTTGCTTCAATATCTTGAAACTTGGAACATCCCTTTTAATTTCGGTAAAACGACGAAACGCTCATGCGCCGTGTGTTGCCGGCGTCCGGCAGCCGTCATTCATTTAATCGTTCATTCGTTCTGGCCAGAAAGGTGAGTCACAGTGATGATCAAATGTATTACCCGAACTCCTCGCTTTGAGAAATGCCAGAGAAATGAGTGAAGTATAATTTGCAATGGGTATGGTACGAGGACCCACGAAACGGGTACGACAAAAGGATCCACGAAATGCAATAAGTTTTCAGCGAAGCTCACTGCTATCGCAAAACATTTTGGAGTCATTAAAGGGTCTGATAACAAAAAATCAGCGTGATTGACAAGTGGCAGAAGCAAAATCAAGGAAATTTGGTAGCGGTGGCGTGTGCGGTCTTCTTAAACTTATGAAACACAACACAACGCTCCAACCGGGGTAAAAATCTGCAGCCAAGATTTGAGCGTGCCTGGTAGTCAGCACATCACACCTGGCTCCCGTCATGCATCCCGGCAACCAGAGTTCGGATAGGCCAGGGAATCCCATGAATGGTGTTAAATGCATCCCGAAACAATGTTAACACTTATCGTTCATGGTACTTCGTCAACAAGCGAAGCAAGCCCGCAACCACTCGCAGCGGAGTTTGCTTGAAATTTATGCAGGTATTTTGGGTATCCAAGAGCCAGTTAGAGTCCTTGAGATATCTAATCGACTGATTCCTTCGGGTTGAAAACATCAAACACATGTTTATGGTCTCAATTGTTCTCTTTTACTTGGAACAAAACAAAACCCTAGCGGTCGGTGGTGCACTTAGGAAGGTATAAAGTAGGGTCATTATGTACAATTCCTACCGGCACGAAAAAATTTTGCGTCGATGCGATTCTGATCCAAGGAGGCAATGTTTGGGCCCATCAGTACCGATGTAGCCAACTCCGGTGGCGACTGCCAGTGAGATGACACGCTTGATAGGCCCTGCTAAAAACGCAATATAACAAGGCCAGTGTACATTTAATGTTTCATTTATTACCAAGCAAGAATGTAAATAAATGTTTTTTCTTAAGTTTGTTGTTGAGTCTCCCCACCAGTGATATATCCAACGAATACAGTTGTCTCCATCCATCAGCCACGTGACTTAGTGAATAGGAACGCTTCTGACCCAATCCTACGCTACACTGAGAATGTATGCTGGCACCTTAGTATAAGATAACGGGTTAAGTTGATGTGCTTTTCACTCGGAAATGTAAACAAAAACTGGTAAACAGGGCGCAAAACCACAAAATCAGCGATGAGCCGGTATCCAGCAGCGGCAGAAGTGGTTGGTAGTGGTAGTGGTTGGAAACAACTAGTCCTTACTCTAAGCCGTAGCGTAGGATTAATATATCGCTCGAAATATTTTATGGATCAATGATATAATGTTTTCTTATACATGCCGTTTCTTTCATTAATTAATTACTCCTGTCTGAAATAGGGTCACTCCCTATCCACTCTCTTGAGCAAACAGAAGAGGTGTAATAATTGCCGATATTCGGGCTCCAAATTGTTTCGCATACAGCTGCTAGAGCTTAAGGATATTGCAGAGGAACAATGAGCTTGAATCGATTTTGAGCCAGGATGGCAGTGAAAAATTCCCCTGCAAAAAGACGGTACTGGAGCAAAAAAATGCGAACTACAAAGACTGGAGCTTACGAGTCAGTGAGAGACGTCCCAGCAAGCAAAGACATGCATTTTAAGTTGACATGGGCATAATATCGTAAACATGAGCACGGAAACATGACAACAATGTTTTCTATACTCGCAGGTCATTACACTAAAACAAAATACACTAAAGAACAGTATTTTCATAATAGTGTGACGAGCACCACAAACTAGGCCACACGTACGTTTTGATGCTGTTCTTTGCACTTCCCTTCCCCAGGAATTTGAACACAAAAGAGAGCAAAGGAGTTCGGCAACAAAAAATTCAATAAGCATAAGACATTCAAATAAAAGAAGTCTTGGAATACTGCACA